CGATGCTGGGACTCGCTGAGGGAAAACAGCCATGAGAACAGCTATGGGTTCAAATTCTGCTTCCTACACCTGCTCAAGTCATGAAATGTCTCTGAAATGGGGTCGGCGCTGTGGTGTAGTAGGTTAAACCGCCAGCTGCAGTGCCAGCATCCCATACAGGTGCTGGTTAGAGTCCTGGCTGCTCCATTTCCAATCCAGCTGTCTACTAACAGCCTGGGAAAGCAGTAGAAGATGGCCCAAGTCCTTGGGCCCCTGCACCCATATGGGAGACCCAGAAAAAGCTCCTGGCTCCTGGCTTCAGATCAGTGCAGCTCCGGCTGTTGCAGCTATCTGGGGAGTGAACCAGTAGATGGAAGGCCTCTCTCTCTCTCTCTCTCTCTCTGCCTCTGCCTGTCTGTAACTCTGCCTTGCAAATAAATAAATTAAAAAAGAAAAGAAAAGAAAAGAAAAAAGAAATGTCTTTGAATCATAGAAAATGTATTTCTTGGGGCTGGCTTGTGGCTCAGTAGGTTAACCCACCTCCTAATAATGCCAGCATCCCTTATGAGCATGCATTTAAGTCCCTGCTGCTCCACTTTGCTTCCGGCTCCCTGCTACTACCATCTGGGAAAGCAGAGGAAGGTGGCTCAAGTCCTTAGGCCCCTGCCACTCATGTTGAAGACCCAGATGGAGCTCTAGGCTCCTGATTTTGATCTGGCCCAACCCTGGCCATTGCAGCCATTTGAGGAGTAAACCAATGGATGGAAGATTCTCCCCCACCCCCCCAAACAAATAAATCTTTAAAAGGCTGGCCTATGGGAGGCCAAGTGGCCTAGCAGTTGAAGATGCTGGCTAAGGTGCCTACATCCCATATCAGAGTGTGTTTGATGTCTGCCTCTGACTTCTGACTCCCGTATCTTGTGGCTGCAGACCCTGGGAAGCAGTGTGTGTGGTACAAACAGTTGGGTCTCTATCAGCCACATGGGAAACCTGGATTCCTTTTCAAGCTCCCAGCTTCAGCCAGGCCTAACCCTGGACAGTGTGGGCACTTGAGGAGTGACCCAGTAGATGGGAGCTCTCTGTCTCTCTGCCTTTCAAATAAACAATTCTTTTCTTCACAAGGTTGGACTAAACTAATAAAGGTCTCACAATCTATCAGGCCTCTTTTTTCCCTTGGAATGTCAAACTTTGGCTAGGAGACGGCCTTGCGTTCCATGAGACATAGGCAGCACAGAATCTCAGGCTTCAGGGACTCGTTTGAATTCACTAAACCTCTCTGCAAAAATGTTCCAACATCACCGTCCTACCAAGGAGTCTAAATGGCCAGCCTGTGCCCCAACCAAGGCATGTTCTGGAACTTTCCTCTTCTCCCTAGTAGGCTTTGGTTCTGCTGGTGGAGTCTCTCAGAGTTGCAGATTTTCTGTCCTGAATCACAGTCAGGTGGCTGAGCTCCCAAGACAGCAGGCCGAAGCACAGGCGCTGCCAGCAAGCTCTGCTTGGCTCGCACAGGCAGCGGCAGCCTGGAGGGAGGGCGGGAGTCTCTGCCGCTCCCTAATTCATCTGCCTGGCACCACTTATTCCTCAGGGAAGCATCAGGGCCAAGTGGAAAAAAGCGAGACTGGAAGTGAGGAGACCTGTTTGAGTCCCTTGCCTACCTCCAGTCAGCTGTGGTGTTCCCGTTCCATTATTCTGCCTTTCCTAGGGCCTCAACTGCATGTTTGCAAAATGCGATTACTGGGGGTCCTGGCCCACACACTAAGTGAGAGAGCGAGCTCTCCATCCACTGGTTTACTCCCCAAATGGCTGCAATGGCCAGGGCTGGGCCACATCAAAATCAGGAGCCTAGAGCTCCATCTGAGCCACACACTAAGCCTTAAAAAACTACTGACTACTAGAGTATGTTGGGACAAATTTGCAGGGTGGTTAAAACTGTGAGCTGAGATTTAAAAAGTCACAAATGGCTGGATGGCTTGCTATCCCCAGATGTAAAAAGCAGACATGATAGGATCTGCACCACAAGCTTGTTTGAGGCTTAGGGAACCAGACACATAAAATCCCTTCACAGTGCCTGGCACACAGTAAGTCCTCATTAAGGTAGGCTGCTGGAGTTAACAATTAAGGAGGAGAGGGGTTGTCATATATTGTTTTTGTTTTTGTTTTTTTTACAGGCAGAGTTAGAGAGAGAGAAACAGAAAGGTCTTCCTTCCGTTGGTTCAGCCCCAAATGGCTGCTACGGCTGGTGTGCTGCGCTGATCCGAAGCCAGGAGCCAGGTGCTTCTCCTGGTCTCCCATGGCGTGCAGGGCCCAAGCACTTGGGCCGTCCTCCACTGCCTTCCCGGGCCACAGCAGAGAGCTGGACTGGAAGAGGGGCAACCGGGACAGAATCCGGTGCCCTGAGCAGGACTAGAACCCGGGGTACTGGTGCCGCAGACGGAGGATTAGCCTAGTGAGCTGTGGTGCCAGCCGATTGTTATCAATTTTTAAAAAACATTTTTTTTAGACGGAGCTCCAATCTGCTGGCCTACTCCCCAAAACCTGCTACAGCTCCAGGAAAAAGACAAGAACTGGTTCTTCCACACGGGCGGCAGGAACCCGGTCCCATGAGCCATCACTGCTACCTTCCAGTGTCTATGAGAGGGAAGGTGACAGGCTCGGAACCCAGGCGCTCCAACACCCAGGCGCTCCAACACCCAGCCACGAGGCCTAAACTAATAAAGGTCTCATGACCTATCAGGCCTCTTTTTTCCCTTGGAATATCAAGCTTTGGCCAGGAGGCGGCCTTGTGTTCCATGAGACATAGGCAGCACAGAACCTCAGGCTTCAGGAACTCGTTTGAATTCACTAAACACGTGCCTACCCCACCTCCCTTTTACTTCTGAATAAAAGACAACGGAAACTGAAAGCTGCCAACAACACCTCAGCTAGCAAACGACTGTGCTAAGGCTTCCACTGGGACGGTCTGACACCAGAAGTCGTATCTGGTCCCTGCACGAGGACACCCTCTTGTTGACCAGGCCTTGGAGAACCTAGAGCTAACTCACACCTCCCCGATGACCAAGAGAAAGATGTTTGGAGACAACAACCAAAAATCTGGGGAATTACCACGGAGTGCACCACGACCCCAGCCAAAAGCCCTCCTTGGCCACTCTTGGAAACCAAAGCCTGCGTAGACTGGGCCCTGTCTGTAGCCAGTTCTCAGCCTTTCCCCAGCTGCTCCACCTCAGCCCGGACACCAGAGGGAAAGAAGCTCCTCCCTCCCCCATGGCTTAAGCAGCAAAGGAATCCCCAGAGGGAGAGCAGGGCTAGGCCAGGGCTGGGAAAGATCAGCAAGGGGCTCACAGTCAAGCTCACTGCTGTGGCCCGCGGTGCCCTATGCTGCTGCCCTACAGGCTGCCTGCAGAAGGAGGTGTGCATTTCTGCTTTTATGAACCTAATGGAGCAGACCACACCTCATGACCTAGGGGCCAGATGAGGCTCGGCCCAGGGCCCTGGGGAGGAGGCAGCTGCATCGGGTCACCCCTACCCCTCCCCGCCCCTGAGGGGTGCTGGGGCCTGAGCAAGACCCACTGTCCACACCAGGCCCTCCCCAGGCCCCAGGGGAGCCAGCAGGAGAAGGCAGTGGCCTGACTGCTGCCCAGGGCACTCAGCTCCGGGCTCCAGGCTCACAGGAGACCTTAGCGCCTCACCTCTACTTCAAGAGCATTGAATTCCCTCTTTCTTCAAAACAGCCTCCAGTCACTGTCAAGTCTGCCATGGCTTTCAGAAACAGGAAGACCCAGCTGCACTCACCTCCCCTCACCCCCATCCTCCTGGCCAGGAGCCCCAGCCCACCTGGGCCTCACAGGGTCTGTTCTAGCCCCTCCCCAAGCACAGCCCACTGCCCAGGGAGGGAGGGGAGGGGAGACCCTCCCACCCCGCCCCTCACCCCAGCTCTGCAGTGGGGGCAGAGCTTGCACCTGCGCTGGGCACCTCCCTCCCCGCGCCTCTGTTTCCCCGGTGATGGACACCACGCGGGAGCCTCCTTGTCGCTCTGAACGTCTGCGCCCATTTTCCTGCGCGTCCCCGCGTCTGGGGAGCAGCCGCTCCTCCCTTCCAGCAGACACGTGGCTGTGCAGTGCGCCCACCCTCGGCGACCCCCGTGCCTCTGGGAGAGTCTGCCGCCACCACAGCTCAGCGGCAGCCTGTGCCTCCTCCTGTCACTGGCCCTGCAGCTCTGTCCCTGTGGATTTTCCCCAGGCCGCTTCCCTCATCCCACAGCCCCGAAAAGACCCTGCCTGCCGCTCCCCACTCCCAGTGTCCATGCCGGCTGCCAGGAATTTCCAGTGCCCACCCACCCTGCTGCTGCTGCGAGGGGCCAGCACTTTTTCTGAAACCCAGCTTTGGCCTCTGCCTCACCCTCTCCCGGGGGTCATTCCAGGCAAACCACAGGATCAACAGGGCCCAGCCCCTTCCCCAGCGATCAAGCCCAGCCCCCTCCCCAGCGAAGGAGCCCCGCATCACCTCCTCCCCCGCCGCGCCCGCACCCGCGCCCCGCCCCGCACACCTCGGCCAGAGGAGGCAACGCTCAAAATCAAAATCGGGGAGCCCGCGCCTCTCTCAGCCCGCAGGGCCGACACCTGCTCGCAGGGAGGGTCCCGCGAACTCGGAAGGGAACGGGAGGCCGGCTTGGGCCAGGGCGCCGTCCCCACCGCGACCGTGAGGGTAGAGCTGGGCAGGTCGGCCGTCACTTACCCGCTGTCCTGGAGCAGCGCAGGCCGGGGGCGGACGGCGGGCGCCGACTTTGCTGACTCAAAGGCGTGGCGGCGAGCGCCCAGGAACGCACGCGAGCGCAGCCCCGCGCTCCCCGCGCACGTAACGGCCCCGCGCCCGCGCCCAGCGCCCGCCGCCCGTGTGCGGCCGCTCGGCCTCCTGCTTCCGCCTCCCGCGCCGCCCGCCCAGGGGCCGTCTCAGCCCGCCGGCTTCTGACCCGTAGGCGGACCCCGGCGGGCTGCGGCGGCGCCGGGAGCCCGGAGCCCGCGACCTTCGTCCCCACAGCGGCTGCTCATCCGCCCCCACCCCCCAAGCGCTGGAGCTGACGCTGTGGGAGCAGCAGCGCGGGACTGGGCCCTGGAAGCCCGCTGGAGCCGGGACCCAGGCCCCTCAGCTGTGTGCGCGCTGCGGGGAGGGGCGGGCGGGTGCTGGCAGGGGGCCTCGGGGTTGGGGGGCGTGCGTGTGGGCTGCAAATGCCGACTTTAACGTTTAAAATGTCTGATATTTAGGAGACGGGCTATGGAGAGTGCCAAAGGGCCTGAATCAGGAACGTATTTCAGAAATGACACCTTGGGCGGGGTCTCCCCCAATCCCTGCCCCTGAGGTGGGGGAGGAAAGGACACCATGGTCAGCGCCGCCTCATCTTTAAGTTCCCCAGTGGCCCTGGCTGTGCACACCTTGGGGGCCACGCACAGTCCACTGGAAAGTCCGCGCCATCTGTGTGTCCACAGTGAGCGTCCATTCGCTCAGGGTGTCCCCAGATGATCAGTCTGAGGTCAGCGGTGCGCAGAGGAAAACTTTATTTCCCCTGGGAGAAGTGAAGGAGACAGCAGGAGCCCCCGAAATAACCGACCCCCGTGAGGGGCAGATTCCCGGGCTTCTCACGGGCGTCCCCATGTCGGGAAATGGCGCAGTCTCTCCCCGGGTGGAGAATTTAATCCTGGAAGCAAAGCTCAGCTCGGGTCTGCAGACTCGGACTCAGAGCGGCGTCTTGCAGTTTTGTGGCTCCTTGTTCGTGGCGGCCCTGCCCTCCCAGTTCACTGTAACAAACTAAGCTCCCCTGGTAGCTCCGGAAAACAGGCTCAAGGCGGCTGGTGCTCTCTGCCCCAGTCCCAGTTCTGCCCTCCTCCCCTAAATCCTACATTCTTGGCCACAAAATGCTCCCTGAGACCTTTCACTCCCATTCTGGAGGGAGGGGAAAGGCAGGAAGTGGTGCTTCGGTAACTACTTCCTGCTGAAGCTGGCCACGGCCCAGGCTGGAGAAGTGAGACTCCCTCAAGATGAAGCAAGGGCTTGTGTCGTGGGGAGTAGCCCTGGTGGCCCGCAGTGGCGTCCAGGCGTTTAGAAGCATCCTTAGCTGACATTCAGTGTGGGGTCCTTTGGGGGAACAGTTTGGGGTCTGACCTGGGCTCTCCAGGTAGCCATCAGAGGGTTCAGGTGAAGTGAGGCGCGCTCTGCTCTCAGGAGTTCCATGTTGTAAAGTTCCATGTTGTAATTCAGGAGAAGAATGAGTGGTTAGGAGCCGGGAGTGCTGCTGCCAGATGGGGCTGTCTGCTCCCCACAGCTCAGTTTGCAACCTTTGAGTGGAGGCCATCTCCCAGGAAATGGGGGTGGGGTTTTCTACCTGTGCAGGTGAGGGTGGGGTCTTATTTGCACATCAGAGGAGAGCAGTCCCAACCTGCCCTAATATATGTTCTTGTTCCCAGTTTCTTCATCTGGGCAAGTCAAGGGGCCAGCCCAACCTGGATAGGGTCTGTCGGAGAGAAACTCATCTGTGCTAAAGCCTAATTCCTTTCTGTGGCTACTGTAACACAGGTAAAGCACCTGAATTTCGTGGCAAAGGTTAGCTAAGGTTATATTTAGGGTCTGATTGGGACCTCTAGGCAAAGAGTCATTTCCACCTTATGCCTACAGCTTGGGGAACTCCAGCCACCATCTTTGAAACCAAACCTACCCATTATCACTTTGTTCAGTCATAAGCAGACCAGAGAAATTTCTCTTTTCAGGCTTTTTTTAAAAAAAAAAACTTTTTAAAATTTATTTAAGAAAGACAGGTAGCACCCATCTGCTGATTCACTCCTGAAATGCCCACTCCTGGGGCTGGGCACTCAGTCCAGGTCCGACACATGGATGGCAGGGACCCAAGGACTTGAGCCATGATGTGCTGCCCCCCCCCCCAAGGAGTACACACACGAGAAGCTGGAATCAGGAGTGGAGAGCTAGGACTGGAACCTAAGCACCCCTGTGTGGGATGTGGGTATCCCCAGTTGTGTCTGAACTGCTCCAAACCCACCCCTTAGAAGGCTTTTACTGACCCGGATGTGCACTGCTCTATCTTGACTGAAATGCACAGAAGCGTCTGATATCGTGGCTGGTCTCTTCCCAAATGTGGGATGCAGAGCCCAGGGAAACCAGTCAGAACTTTATTTATTTATTTTTTGGACAGGCAGAGTTAGACTGTGAGAAAGAGACAGAAAGAAAGGTCTTCCTTTGCCGTTGGTTCACCCCCCAAATGGCTACTACCACCGGTGCGCTGCGCCGATCCGAAGCCAGGAGCCAGGTGCTTCTCCTGGTCTCCCATGGGGTGTAGGGCCCAAGCACTTGGACCATCCTCCACTGCACTCCCGGGCCACAGCAGAGAGCTGGACTGGAAGAGGAGCAACCAGGACAGAATCCGGCGCCCCGACCGGAACTAGAACCTAGGGTGCCGGCGCCACAGGCGGAGGATTAGCCTAGTGAGCTGTGGCACCAGCCACGAGTCGGAACTTTAGAACCAGGCCACAGGGAGGGCCGAGGCCCCAGCCATCTCGGTGTCTCCTGTCGCTCACACTCAGGTAACAGTGCATTTGGTGACTCCAGGGTGCAGCAAACACTCCAGCATGTGCCCTTCTGTCTCTAGGGTAACCAGGGCCTCCTCGGGGACTTGGAATTTCTCTCCAGGGGCCTTCTGGGGAACCCGGGACCCATCAGCCTTCTTCTGTCCAGGGGAGCTGAGAAGAGTGGGTTTGCCCGGAGCCCTTCTCATCTGGGGACAGCTTGGACACTGTGAGCGCCAGTGCCCTCTTGCTTGCTTTGGCGCACTGGCAAGGCCCTGACTTAGCTGCTGGCCTTTGGATGGGCTCACCCTGGGGGCCGGGATCACTCGCCTCTGTCAGTTTCCCTCCTCGTCCTTAGTTCCCTGGAGGAGCCGGGAGAACAATGAGCACACCCTTCCTGCTCCCAGGCTGTCTTCGTGTTTTGGCTCAGGGAACATTCAAGGCAGTGTCTACCAGTCAAGAGGATTTGCCTCAGGGCTGCGAGCCCATTTCTGGACACTCTGTGATAGAACGTAGCTGTTAGAACCACCCGACTTCCCTGGGCGTCAGGGTCCCAGGAAGGCTGCTGTCTCCCAAACCCTCATAGCCTCTTTGGGATGTAGAGGCCCCTGTAGAGTTTGGGAGTCCAGATTCCAGCTTCCACGTGGGCAGGTGTACAAACAGGTGACCCACGAAAACTACTAGGGACCGCGGGAGCAAGAAGAATAAAACCCCAGACATAACATTAGCAAGCAGAGGAGAGATGTGATCAGCCATGAAACGTGAAATTCCCTCTCATTTTTCACCTATGGAAGGCAGAGGTCTCTAACCCCGAATAAAATGGTCCCACACCTGTGAGGCAGGGAAGCCCATGGACCAGCAACCCAGAAACCTGGCTCCGGGATTTCTCAGACCTCACATTTTCCACTACTCTGTCTCCCAGCACAAAACCTGGCACTTGCGTTGTGGCATCCTGGAAAAAGCTGTCTCCTTCTCATTCTCCAATTCTGCCCTGCTGGTGAGCATGCACTCCTAGGAACCCTTAGTCACTTCTTAGAGCTGCGAGTCTGAATGATTCAGCCCTGGGTCCCGTGCGGTGCTGGACACACAGGCGTCCAGGTGACCATGCACCTCTGGGGTCTCTGCATCAGGAGCTCAGGACAGCCAGGCCCCAGGCCACATCTGAATGACACCAGGTGCAACAAGGGTCCCCAAGGGTAAGTGGGCCCTGCATGAGCTGCTGCCACCATTGCTAAGATCTTGGTGATGGACAACTTGACCCAGGATGGAGCAAGTGTTCCCTGCAAGCTGACCGGCCCTGTTCAATCAGACTTTGCTGATTACTTTGCTCCCAGTTCCCAGTTGCCCCCATCCTGGGCTAGGAACCCTCCCATGTGGGTCACCAGTGTAGTTGCTGGACGTGAAAGGTCCATTTGCTTGGAGTGTTGGCAGTTTCTCAGCTTCAGGCAGACAGTGTTCAAAGGAGAGTTACAAACTTGTGAGGAGTAAAGGAGAAACGGGGGAAGGTAAAACCGCCTCCCTGGGGCTGTACTGTGGTGCAGCAGGGTGGGCCGCCACCTACGACTCTGGTATCCCACACAGCAGGTTCAAGTCCTAACTGTTCCACTTCCAATCCAGCTCCCTGCTAATACGACTGGGAAAGCAGTGAAAACTAGCCCAAGTATTTGGACCCCTGCCACCCACGTGGGAGATCCAGATGGAGTTTTAGCCTCCTGGCTTTTGCCTGGCCTATTTCTGGACAGGGTAGCCATTTGGGGAGTGAATCAGCAGGTGGAAGACAACTCTCTGTGTCTCTCCCTCTTTCTGTCATTCTGCCTTTCAAATAAATAAATCTTACTTGAGAAAAGAAGAGCAAAGCATGGGCCTGAGCAGCAGATTTCCAGTTATAACTGGTATGGGAGTGGCTAAGGTGTAGTCAGAGAGGCCAGGGAAGACCCCTCCTTTTCCTAGAAGTCCAAAGTCATTCTTAGTCCCAACTCACCTTGGATCTCTCTCATCTGAGGTCGTGCATCAGCTACAGGTAGCACCAGCCCTGGAGAGTCTGTTCAGTCTACACCTAGGAAGCAGATGGGAGACGGGGTGTCCAGAGAAAGACAATGACCTGGGCAGAGTCACTTGTACAAGGAGGGTGCTGGTCTGTGTCTGCTCTCGCTGTGGCACCGGCTGCCCCCAGGCCTGCCCTGTGGCAGGTGTTGGTTGTGTTGGTGCAACTCTGGACAGTGGGGCATGTTGGGGGGTGGGGGGACAGATAACAGCCCACAGGGTCTTCGGAGAAATCTTGTGTGAAGAAGGAGCTCAGCTTAGGGGCCGTAGGAAACAATATCACTTCCTTGGTGATGACTTAACAAAACTGGGTAACCTGGGAATCAGCACCCACATGCCAGAGCAGGGTTTAGCCAGCACACCAGGTTCCAGACTCTCAAAGGAATGTTCTCCTGTTGTCCCTGACCAGGCCGAGGCCCAGGCCCCAACTGTGGGTACCTTGTCCGGTGATGGAGACACTGTGTCTGCCCTCGCTCACCCCCAATACCCCTTGTGCTTTCAACCAAGGAAGGTGAAGGTGACAGAGAACAGCCAGGCCAGGACCCCACTGGGGAGCCCATAGCCCCCTGGATGTGTGGGGGGAATAAGGGGCCATTTCACCCTGGGTGTGGGGGATGAGGGAGGGGTGGGAGTTAGCACTCCGGTAGGAACCTGAGACCCAGACCCAGGTGGCTGGGGCACTGCGAAGGGTCCTTGCTTGTCTCTAACAGATTCCACATGGGTGCCCGCACCCCTTCCAGAGAGCAGAGATCATGGGGTTTTCAGTGTCCATCCTGAACACGCATCAGCCACCAACACCAAAAGGGAGGGACAGTCCCGGCCAGAGCCCCTGAGCCTATGTCAGGTTCATCCCCAAGAGCCTGTCACCCACCCAAGGCCCCAGGAGAGCTGTTGCGTTGGTAACAGCAGAAGTGGAGCAGGGAGGTGGTAGATGCCCATCTCCCGGTGAGGGAAGTGGGACCCAATGGCTCTGCCCGTGCAGTAGCTGACGAGGTCAGGGCTGTCCCCGGCACCTGACCTCACATCTGGGGCAGAACAGCACCCTGACCTTCCAGAAATAGCCATGCCGGTACCTTATTTGCCCCCAGCTGATGAGCACCAAGTTGAGGATGCCCTGGGGGACAGCCATACTCCTGGTCACAGTGCAGGGCCCAGTGGTGGCCTTGGAGCCATGGGTGTGTGGGGCAGCTGAGCCGGGGCCCAGCGTGTCCCCAGCTGCCACCAGGGACGTTGCAGGGGCAGCAGAGGCAGCTCTGGCCCTGCCCCCAGCCCCAACTCCTGAAGTCCCCCCACTCCACCTCCAAGGCCAGACCTGTCCTTCATTTTCCTGGGATAATTTGTTTCTCTGCCAATTTTCTCACTTCCTCGGCCCTGTTTGTCATGTTCCTTAATAAAATGTAGTTTGTCACCCGGTGTGAAGTGTACAATTCAGCACAGTGTGAGATTCCCAGGCCATTCCTTCCCCACCCACCTCTCGCTGCAGAACGCGGCCAACGCCAAGGACTGGGATCCTCTGGAGGGGACACTGACACATCCCCGGGGCACAGACACTGCTGTCTGTCTTGGACAGGGAGCAGTGACTGCTGGGAAGGCCAAGGAAGACAACCAGCAGGGAGACACTGTCATGGCTGGGGCAGCGCCTCCTCATGGTCAGGGACGCGGGCTCTGGGGTCAGATGGAACTGACCTGCAGTGGGACTGCCCATGCAGCCTCAGTGTCCCCATCTGTGAAATAGGATGGAGCCCCACCCGCAGACATCACAGGGACAGGGAATGGGATGGCCTGCCCCTCCCTGCACACACTGGGAGCCCCCAGCTCCCGGGATGAGGAGTGCACAGTGGGGATAAGGAAGCAGGGGTGGGGCTTTCTCCCACTGAGGGCAGAGCCTCGGGTCGGGGCCATGCTCACACAAGAGCCAGCACAGTCCCTGTTCCCGTGCTCAGCAGGGGGGCTGGCAGAAGCACAGCAGGGATTCGCCCAGCTGTGGGAGCCCTGATGTCCACAGCACAGGACAGGAAGTGGGCTGGGTCCATGACCCCCACGTGACCTCAGACAGGCCACTGTGCAGGTGGATCCTGGACAACCCCAACGACAGTGACCGGTCCTGTATCTGACCTCCTGGGATGTGCAGGGCCCAGGCCAGGCCCTGGGCACCACGTGTCACCCATGGGAAAGCCACTGCTGTCACCCTGGGTTTGTAGATGGGGAACAGCTCTGAGAGGGAAGCCCCTGCCCAGGTCTCGGCTGTGGTGGCGCCGAGGTGTGGCCTCCCCTCCTCATGCTGGCCTCAACTGTGGGGCGGGGGGGGGGGCATGACCCTAAGAGCAAACATGGAGGCCAGAGTGCACAGCAGCAGGGTGGGAGGGGCAGGAAGGGTGTGAGCTTCTCTGAGAGGCTACAGCCCCAGGCATTTTCTTTTTTTTTTTTTTTATCTTTTATTTAATGAATATAAATTTCCAAAGTACAACTCATGGGTTACAATGGCTTCCCCCCCCATACCGTCCCTCCCACCAACAACCCTCCCCTTTCCCACTCCCTCTCCCCTTCCATTCACATCAAGATTCATTTTCGATTATCTTAATATACAGAAGATCAGCTTAGTATACCTTAAGTAAGTATTTCAACAGTTTGCTCCCACACAGAAACATAAAGTGAAAAATAATAGATGATTTTTTTAAAATGATGATGAAATCAGATCAGACCTATTGTCATGTTTAATCCCAGTGAGAGTCAAGTTGGGAATTTAAAATTTTTTTTTTTTTTTTTTTTTTTTTTTTTTACAGAAGATCAGTTTAGTGTACATTAAGTAAAGATTTCAGTCGTTTGCACCCCCATAGAAACACAAAGTGAAATATACTGTTTGAGTACTCGTTATAGCATTAAGCCTCAGTGTACAGCACGTTAAGGACCGAGATCCTACATGAGGAGTAAGTGCACAGTGACTCCTGTTGTTGACTTTACCAATTGACACTCCTGTTTATGGCATCAGTAATCTCCCTATGCACCAGTTATGAGTTTCCAAGGCTATGGAAGCCCCTTGAGTTCTCCGACTCTTATCTTGTTTAGACACGGTCATAGTCAAAGTGGAGGTTCTCTCCTCCCTTCAGAGAAAGGCACCTCCCTCTTTGAAGACCTGTTCTTTCCACTGGGATCTCACTCACAGAGATCTTTTCCCAGGCATTTTCTTAATGGGCTTCTCAGCTGGTCCACTAGGCTGGGGCTGGGCTGTGAGGAGGAAGCCAGGGCGATGGGAAGCTGACAGGTGTGTTCCTGGGAATGGCCTGGATCAGACCCAGAGACGTCACCATCCACAGGAGAGCCCCCATCTGGAAAATGCCCAGATCACCACCAGACCCACCCTGGGCACCTGTCAGCCTGGAGCCCCAGGTGCAGCCCACCTGGAGGGAGTGGGTGGGGTGGGTGCGCCTGACCAGGGGAGCCCAGGGCAGCTCAGTTTGGCTGCCTTGGGAGAGAGGAGCCCCAGGCAAGTGTGACCCCAGCACTGGCCCAGGCTGCAGGTGACACATGGAAGGGCACCCACAGTACGTGGCACACCACTCAGGACAGCCAACGACCACCAGTCCAAGGTCCTGAGTCTCAGGGTCATTTCAAGCCCCAGGCACCAGGGGATCTGACGGCAGAAGCCTGGGAACCATGGAACCTATGGAGAGCCAGACTTCTCAGAGCAGCAGTGAGGTCCGAGATGGGGGAACTCCCTGGCAGAGGAGGAGTGGGCAGAGGCAAGAACAGGGTGGAAGCCACGGCTGCACTGGGAGACTGAGTCTGAGCAGCTGAGAGTTTATGAGCCCCTGCAGAGCCTCCGTCCTCACGTGCGGGTCTCATTTCACCCTCCTGCTCACTCGGTGACCGAGGTGCACGATGGCCCCACCGCACGCATCAGGCAGCGGAGGCTCGGAGCTCTGGCTCCCTGTGCTCTACTGAGCGGCAGAGTCTGAACCCAGACGCTGCCAGAACCCGTGGGGCTCCCTGACAAGGAGGCTGCACCTGGGAGGGACCTCTGGACCCTGCATTCCCTGACCCTCAGATCCTGGTGCCAGAGAGAAGCTGTGTCCTCTCACAGGTGGGCTGTTCCTGTGACCTGGAGAGCTGAGGGCAAGTGTAGGACACACCCAGCCCAGGATAGTGGTGGCTACGACCTCCCAGTTCCCTGAGGGCTCCAGGATGGGGGGAGGGGGTGCTGTTCATGAACCTCCAGACCCTGAGGCCCATGGGGGCCTCACTGGGGGACCGTGGATAGGAAGGAGCTCACAGTGCATAGTCAGAGACGGGGGTCACTGTCCCGTCCATCCTCGTTCTAGCTGCTGACCCTGACGAGGCTTGAGCCTCTCTTTCCCCATCTGTGGAGTGGGAAATGACCAGGCCGTCTTCACAGGCAGTGGACAGAATTCCCTGAGAACAGACTTGGAATTGTGCCGTGTTCTTTGCCCATGAAGGGCCGCCCCTCCTACCTGGCTCAGGGATGTTCCTCGTGATTGGAGGGGGAGTGGAGCAGGTGCAGGGTGACAGCCCTCCCAGGAGAAGGGGCTCAGTGTGGGACAGAAGGGGGACTCTGTGCCCAGTAGTTGACCCTGTGCTGGGAAGCCCTGTGACCCCACCCTATGAGGGCCCCCTCCATCTCCAGCCTCCCAGGGAGCAGCTGCCTGGAGGCGCACAGTGGGCGGAGCTGCAGTGTATAGAAAGCTGGATTGGAGAAATCCCCTTAATTCAAACAGGCACGAGAGGCTGGGTGGAGGATCAGCAGAAGCAGTTTATTAACACTGACAGGCCCAGTGGAATCACCTCCCAAGGCTGGGCATCCGATCCAGGTGTCTTACAACATGTACAGGTTCATCAGCATCATGCCTTCCCAGTTATAGCATAGTGGGCTTAGCTGCAGCCTGCGGGACTCAGGACCACCCGAGAGGAACCTGAGACCACACGTACAGGGAACTTGAGAAGGGGGGGCAGGTTTACAGAAAACTGAGATGAGGATACCTGCGCAGACAGGTCAACACCTATGGAGAACAGAGATTTGAATGACCACCCAGACATGCCAGTACCTTTGGGGAACTGGAACGGGGGTTACAGTAAACAGAGATTAGGACGTCTGCCCTCCTCAGGGGCCTTGTCCTGGTCACAGCCTAACGTCCTTGTCAGCAGGACAGCAGACCCAGCTCTGAGCTGGCTGGGCCTCAGCTTCCAGGAGGTGCCCCAACAGGCGCACACTGCTCCCGTCCGTGACACCGCAGGGATGTCACTTCCTCAGTCCTCCTAGGATCTTCCTGGACAGTGCCCTTCCTGGAACACAGTGTGGGTCACAGCGACGGGACCGGTCCCACCCCTGGCTCATGCATCCCCAGGAGGACTGCTGGGTTCAGAGCTGAGTGAGGTCCCCTCCCCAGGAGGGTTCCTGGAGCCCACCCCCGACCAGGGCACACGGCTGAGTGCTTCTGGGGGCCTGGAGGCTTCTGGACCCTGAGCGTCCCATTCCTGCCACGCTGACCATGAGGGCTACCAGGAGGCTGAGGGGAGCAGGCAGGGTGGCGTGTGTGAGGATGGCAGTGCTCACCTGCGAGGCCAGGTCCACGGCATCAGATGGCAACTAGCTCAGGAGGACACAGGCCAGGTGGGCTCCAGGAAGGTTCTGGTTCCTGTGACATTCACTGCATTTCAGCCACACTCTGGGTACCCCGTGTCCTGTGTGCAGGGACGAGGGCTTGGGATGCACTCCAGAGAAGATGGAGCAGGAACCCACAGAGCCCCCCCTGTCCCTGGGGCAGCCCCTCAGTCACAGGTGTCCTCAGGCCTCCAGACCACACGTGGGCACCCTCACAAAGGGGATCCACTCCCCTCAACACCTGCAGCTCTCTGCAGTGGAACGAATCCCACTGTGTTTGCTTAGGGCTGAGCTGTCCATGTCCACAGGTCCTCCCTCCCAGGTCAGGCATGAGGAAGGTCAGCTGTGGCCGAGTGAGCACACCCTTCTTCCCCAACAAGGCGTCCACTCTGCTGGGCTCTGAATGCAGGCGGGGGCCTGTGGGCACAGGGGAGGGGCATGGCCAGCCCTGCATGCCTCGGACATGCAGGCAACAAGAACAATAGGTCAGGGGCCAGTAATGTGACACAGTGGGTTAACACCCTGGCCTGAGGCGCTGCAATCCCATATGGGCTCCAGTTCAAGTCTTGGCTGCTCCTGTTCCCATCTAGTTCTCTGTTATGGCCTTGGAAAGCAATACTAGGTGGCCCAAGTCCTTGGGCCCCTGCACCCGACTGGGAGACCTGGAAGAAGCTCCTGGCCCCTGGCTTCAGATCGGCACAGCTCTGGCCATTGCAGCCATCTGGGGAGTGAACCAACAGATGGAAGACCTCTCTCTCTGCCTCTCCTCTCTCTGTGTGACTCTGACTTATGTGTAAATAAATAAATCTTAAAAAAAAAAAAAAACAGGTCAGGGCCGCTACACGTGGCTCAGCACGTCGGATGCGCAGGGGGCAATGACGCAGCCTGCAACTCCTTTGGGAACTTGGTCATCCTGGAAATAGGCACTGAGTTCAGCTGAGGGACTGCTGCTGGCGCCACTTGACCCTGGCAGCTCAGTCTGCCTTAGCAGAAGGTGTTTAATCACTGGCCCCTGGGGACGGGGTCCAGGGCTATTCATGGACCACAGCCACACACATGCTCTGTCCTGGTCTCAGTGTGGTCAGGAAGGGACTGAAGGATTGACCTTGCTTGGCCCAGTAGGACATAGTCCCTGGGACCCCGCCTTGCTGAGGTGTCCCGAGTCAGGGATCTGCAGCTCCCAGGAGGGAGACACCCGCGGGCACAGGAGGAACCACTGGGCAGGAGGGCAGGGCTCTGATCAGAAGGAGGGCACGGAGGGTGGTGCTGGGCACTGGGGCACCTGTGCCAGGCAGGCCCATGGGGAAAAGCCCATTTCCTCTCAGAGCAGAGGCAGAACAGGGTCTGGGCCCAAGGCCCCTAGACTTGTAGCTCTCTTTGTAAGTTGCTCTGGAGATGTGCAGGGACAAGGTTTGCAGAATGCCCAGTGGGGACAGAGGACGCCAGAGAGGAGGCTTGGCAGCCAATGCAGGGACCCCTAGAAATGCAGGGCAGCCTCACTTGTGGAACCCCACCTCTGTCACCCCCACCCTTGGGACTCCCTCTTCAGTGGCTCCCACCTGGGTTGCATGGCGGGGCCTGCGCTCTGCATCTCAGAAGGGACCCTCCTGGAGCCACTGACTCCCACTGACCCTGAGGTTTATGCTTGCAGGGGTCCTGCCTGATTCCCCGGGGTCTTCTGAATTCTGCGTTTCCTCTCACAGAATCCTGCTCTCAGGAACAGGTCGGCCAAGTGATCCAGTTGAGGACACTCGGGAAATTCCATGTGTTGGGGGCCATGGAGCTTAAATCAGCCAGTGGTGTATTCCCTGCCTCCCATCAACCTGGCAGGGAGACCCACCTGGGTAGGCAGCTGTGGGCCCCGCTGCTGGCGCCACCCCAGCACATGGCCTGCCTTCAGATCCCGCCTTGGCTGTCACGCCAGGGCAGTGAGGGCATCCTTCCCCGGGGAAGGCTCCTGTGTTGGGGTGCCTCTGGACACAGTGCCCCCTCCCCCCAGAGCCCCAGCGCGCTCCAGCGGGCGCGAGTTCCTCTCGTCTCCTCCCTAGCCCTCAACACTCCTCAGCACTCTGCTTTCTGCGTTGAAGGATCAGAAATCTGGGCTGGGCACAGGCGGTGTGAGTGAGGTGCTGCTTGAGACCTGGAATCCCATACTGCAATCCCCCCTGCAGTGCCCGGGTTCCACTCCCTGCTCCGCCCCCTGTTGTAGCCTCCTGCCAGTGCGCAGCCTGGAGGGCAGCAGGTTAAGGGCTCCGCATTTGCTGTCTGCACTGGATGGAGTTCTGGGCTCCCCTGCTTTGGCCTGGCTCCACCCCTGCTGTAGTGGACATTTGGAGGAGTATATATGATGACAGGAGGTCTCTCTGTCTCTTTAAGTAAACAAACAAACAAAAAAGAATCATACATTTAAAACACTCACAAATGCTCCAGCCAGCCTCCATGCTCAGGTATCCTTGGTCTCCCTGCTGCCTGGCATTTCGGTCTGGGGCTCAGGACTTCCCAGTGCCACATGTCCAGGTGTGGGCAGAGCCAGACTCCAAGCAGCATTTCTCTCCTTCCCTTGCCCTCCTGCCGTCTGAAGTCACCCTGTCACCTGTCACACATGAGCAAGGAGTGATGGGACAGCCTGTGGGAAGAGCCCCCACCCGCACTGCTCTGATCCCACATTGGCCACCCTGAGACACTGACTAGTGCCCCCTACCCTCAGTAACCCCCTCCTGCCCTCTCCTCCTTCCAAGGGCAGGGGATGCCAGGGACCCACGCCAGGACCAGGTGGCCCCATCGACACCCTCTGACCTCCCTGCTGTGGAAGGAGCCCCTCCTGGGGCCCAGCATCTCGCTCTCTGCCCCCTCCTCCCTGCTCTACATAGAGAGCTTAAGCACTCCCTTGAGAGGCTGCCTGTCCCTGGGCTCCCTGGAGTGGGCTTCCCTGGGCTCCCTGAGGTCTGTGGGGCAGGGACTGAGGGGGAATGACCAGAAACCCAGCCCCTTGCAGGTTCTGTGGAGGTGTGCTGTAAGCCAACATGTAGGCAGCTGGTGTGGGGCTGGTGTCAGGGTGGCTGTCCTGGCTGCTGCCCCTGACAAAGCCCTAAACTGTGCTGGGAGCTGCTGTGACAAAAGGTGGGCTCCAGCCCGGATGTGGGCACCTGGCCAGTCTGCTGACCAGGTAGGGATCACCTGGCTCCCAGATCCCCACAGACTGGAAGCCAGGGCAGGAGTGGGGAGGGGAGCCTCTGTGGAGGACACAGGTGTGGGTCAGGATCCCGGCTCAGCAGGACGGACCTGGGGGACCCTGACAAGCACAGCGAGTGTGGCTCTGCTCCTGTTTCTCTCCCCAGGCCCCCCAGAGAGGGACCCCTCCCCTCAGATCTGGCCTTGCTTGGGTGCTCTCAAGCCATGAGGCAGTTTTCCAAAATTACTCCAGGGCTGCCTCCCTGTTAGCAACAAGAAGCCAAGCAGGGCCAGGGACTCTGTTTCCTTAGAACAAGGAGAGCAGCCAGCCCAGCTTCCCAGAGCCCAAGGCTCCTGCCCTGCACCGCCCAAGTCCCAGGCCATGGTCCCGGGTGGGGTCAGCTGGCATCCTGGCATCCCCAGGACTCTCCTGGTCACAGTAGGTCCCAAATCCAGACCGCTGGTACCCAGGCAGCCCGGGGTCCCTCCCTGATCAGGATGCTCAGAGGGGCCTTGTGTTGTGGCTTTCTGTAGATAACTGATCCCACCCCTGGAGGCCACCACACTGGGCCCCTGCAGAGTGACCAGGGACAGCTGCTCTGTCTACAGACAACTGCCCAGGGACCTGCAGGGGTTCGTCTACGTGGTGCTGAGCTGGCCATCAGCAGTGGAGCCTCTGCTGTGCTCTGCCCTGGGGGAGGGGACAGAGCAGGTACTGCACTGGTCATCCAGGGCTCTGAGGTCCTTCGTGGGGGAAGGGCTCTAGCCATGGGGTTCTGATGAGCCTGGCTGTGCCCAGGATGGCTGGGTGGGTGCCAAGCCCTGTGCTGAACATCCCTTCAGGAGGGGACTGGACCCTGGGCCAACCCAGAGAGGTGACCTTGGACTGAAGGGGCAGGAAGCAGAGACAGTTCTTCAGAAACTCCTGCCAACCGCAGTTCCATAGGACAGGGCCCCTAAGGCCCCCAAGGAACTCAGACTTTTCTCAGAGAAGCAGCTGCTAAGGGGTAATTAGCAGTGCCCTTGGAAACAACACTCATCAGGTGACAGTGACCGCATCTGTGTGCAGCCAGCACTCAGAGGGGAGGCGTTGTTTAGGCCACAGGCCCCGCCCCACTGCAGCTGGCCCTGGGCAGGTGGGCCCTGAGCACCCGCTGCTCCCCTGTACACCCCTGGGCTCCACATTATGAATCCACTGAACCCCTGTCTGATTTTGGCAGGCAGATAGGGTGAAATTAATCAGATTCATGAGCTGAAAACCACACTGCCCCTACGTGATCTCTTCTGCATCCACTCACCTACCAGTCAGGCTACATAACCACTCATCTTTAGGAAGCAAATAAGAGGCGTGGGGCGCCCTGGCACCGCCCCTGTTCCCAGCACACCTCTCGGGCTGCGGCCTTTTGGTCACTTCTCCCTGTTGATGCCCACCTGACACCATGCTATCTGTGGTCTGTGCTGTCAGCACGGTTCTTCTCCCACGCGGCTCCAGCCTGTGAACGCGTGCACGTGGCCCCTGATCTGCTCTCTGCCTGGCATGGAACTCCCAGTTCACCTTTCTGAACGCTTCTCCCTTATTCTCTCACTGCCCCCCAAAATTCTGAACTTTTACTGTACTGCCTGTCTGTTTATGCCTAAGTTTAGAATGCTTCTCTATGCTTGAGACAAGATCCCGAACTATTACTTTTAAAATATGCTCCCTAATATAGCTTCCAGCTCACAGGCCGGGCTCAGGGCACAGTCCTGCTAGGTGCACCATCCCTCCCTGTATAGGAAGGTGACGGTGACGATCCTCCCCACCCTGCATCATACCGTGTCCTCTGGGGAGGGTCTCAGGCCAGGTCTGACAGGCCCCCAAGGACCCTAGGACCAGGGACAGCAAGGACCGAGTGGCTCTGCAGGAACTCACCCGACTGTCATCTGGGGTCAGATTGGAGGGTCCACCCCACAGATGCATGATACCCACGAGGGACACTGGCCTCTGTCCTCCTCTCCAGATTAGACTGAGAAAGTCCCTAGGACCCCGCCTGTTCTCACAGAGCCCCACAATGTCTCTACCTTACCGACCCCGCACCCAAAGAGAGCTGCTGCCACTTCCCGCCCTCAGCACCCCACGCCTCCGAGTGCGTGTTCCCTTCTGGGCCAGGAATGAGCTGCTCTGGGACCTGACCCACCACCCTCAGAAGCCCAGTCCTCCACACAGCCTCAGTCTGAACAAGAGGTCTTGTTCCCTTCTGGAAAGTTCTACACCCTTCCTACAGGGAATAGTGCACCTGCTCTTCCACCTCCCCAGTCCCACCAGAAGAGCCTGTCCCTAACCATTCATGGAAGGAGGATTCCCACAACAGGGAATTAGCCACTCGGTAACACGTATGACACTCACAGCATGTGTCACCACCCCTAACATCTACTCCCCAAACACTCATCACTTAAACCACACCCCCACACTACTCCTGGTCTCTCCTCAGCCCCATGCTAACCCCCCGCCCCAGCACTGACCATCCCCTGTGTCTACAGCACTGCCTGCTTGGGACGCTGGATGGAAATGAAATCTCGCACTCGTGACTTCGTGCATCTGACCTCACTGGCAGTGTTCATGGTTCCTCCGGGCAGCTGCGGTGCCAGACCCCACTCCTGTTCATGGCTGAGCGCTGCTCCACTGCACCGACCCACCTGCTGGCGCCTGCCTCTTCCTCTGCTGGGGGCGTCAGGGCTGGGCCCCTCCTGCCGTGCTGAGCAGTGCTGCTGGGCACACGCGGGGACGGGACTCGAGTCCCTGTGTTCAGTTCTTTGCTCAGATGGCTCCTGCAGGCTCTCCTGCTGCCTGCTCTGGCCTTCCCTCCCATGCACAGTGAGGCTCAGTGCCCCTCCCTTGGCAGCTGCTCTGACTGACAGCTGGAGGGCACTGGGAGGCTGCTCACCCACAGCACTGCTGGGGCAGGCTCCAGAGGGAAGGCTGTTTTATTCACAAAGACAAAAAAGAACCAAGAGAGCAGTCAGGCAGCGCAATGCCCCAGGCCACGGAGCTATTTGAGGAGGGGGGGGGGGGCTCCCTGCTCAGCTCTCAGGTGTCTGTAGTTGACCCCACCTCCTGGCCTATATCTTCTCCAATGGGTGACCCCACCTAACTGCCTACCATCACCCCAGCCCCAGCCCCTCCCCCTGAAGCCAGCCATTTATTCCCTAGAAGGACAGAGCTGCAGACTCCACAGGGGTCAGCCCACTGGGACACAGGGCAGGACAACAAGCCAGGGGGAGCCCGGGATTGCCCCAAGACTAAGGGGGGGGGCCCTTCTCCATGTCATGATGAATGAAGTGACCAGTGGCGGGGGGGGGGGGGGGCTCAAATCAGTGGTGCCACAAAACACGTGCGGCACCAGGAGTCTGGAGAACAATCAACACGGACAAGGGGTGAAAGAGTCATCGCCCTGATGGGGACACTCCAAGCTGCTCACTGACCTCAGAGAGCACAGCCCTGTCCCCAGCTCCCCGGGAAGCCTGGCTGTGGCTCAGCGGCCGCTCCACACTGGTCCAGCCCTGGATCCTGACCAGGGCCACCCCAGGGCTTCCTCCGGAGTGCACAGCAGAGCTGTGACACGGGCACTCGGGTGTCAGCCACCATCAGCCACACAGAGCAGTCAGCCCCAGGTGCACACGGGCCCCTGAGCCTGGCAGCTCATCTCAGCTTTGGGCTCTAAGTGGAACCACTCTCCAGGTGCGGGTGGGTGCAGCTGGCCCTCGGGGCGGGTGGTGGCTCACCCTTGCGCACCTTAGAGAGCAGAGGCTCCCTGTCCCAGGGTGTGATGGGGGCTCCTGCTCCTCAGCTTCCACCTCAGGACAGGGGAGGGCGCCAGCCTTACTGGCAAATGGTCCAGGGACCAGATGGGAGGCTGGGATGTCCTGAGAGGGACAGTGGCCTGTGTGTGGTCACACTTGTGCCAAGGAGAGGGTGCAGGTGAGCCCAGCTCTGTCTCCTCCCAGCTGTGGCACTGGCTGCCCCCAGCCCTGCACTGGGGCAGGAGTGTGTTATGCTGGTGCAACTGTGGACAGTAGGGACAAGGCGTGGGGGTACAGGGGAAGCACAAAGCCTTTGGGGGAGACATTGTGTGAGGAGGGGGCTCGGTACAGGTGCTTCAGGAAGTGACCTCACGTGACTGGTGATGACCTCACAGTGCTGGGTGCCCCCGGCAACCAGCCCCACATTCCAGAGCTGGGTCTGAGCCAGTACACTTGGTGGGGACTCCCTCAGGAAGATGTTCCTCTGCTGTATCCCGCGATGCCGAGGCCCAGGCCCCAGGAACCCCTGCTGTGGGCGCCTTGCCCAGTGGAGGGGACGCTGGGCCAGCCGTCACCCCCGATGCACCTGGTGCTCCTACCAGAGCAAGGGCAGGGTGAGCCTGGCAGCCAGGGCAGGGCTCTGTGGTCCAGGCCACTCCCCGAGCCCTCCTGGGGAGCCCACAGCCCCCTAGGAGTTGGGGAAGAATCAGGGGGCCACTTCACTCACCTGGGGAGGAGGTGGAGTTTGGAGGATGGGGGAACCTGACCCCAGAGCTGGGGAGGAGGTTGGGGGAGCCTGAGGCCCAGGCCGGGAGGGTGTGGAGGGGACCCCGGGATTGTGTCTTTCCTGCCACGTGCAAAGAGTCCCTGTTCTTCTCTCCTAGGGCCAGGACAAGTCAGCCCCAGCCCTGGCGCAGCACAGCGGGCTGGGCATTGCCAGCATCCTGCACATGCACCGGCCGCCCACGCCGGATTACCTGTGTGTGGTGGAGCAGTGGACAAACTTGTCCCCAGCCCAGGAGCCCCCGTCAGGGGTGTTCCCCAGCACGCACAAACCACGTAAGGTGGCGCTCAGTCCCTCAGTGCTGGTGACAGCACAGGTGGAGGCCTGGGGGCCCCCAGAGGCCCACCTCCCAGTGGGGGCAGTGGGGCCCGATGGCTCTGCCTGTGCTGGAGCTGAGACAAGACCAGAGCCGGCCCTGGCCCCAGACCTCGGAGCTGGGGCGCCACCGCAGAGCCCTGACCTGCCCCCAGAAGCCCCGCTGGAGCTGTGTCTGCCCCTGGCAGATGAGCAGGTGGTCGAGGAAGCCCTGGGCACAGCCACGCCCCCGGTCACCGAGCTGCTTCCAGTGGTGGCCCTGGCCGGAGAGAATGCTGCAAAGGAGGCCCTGGAGCCATGGGTGTGGGGGGCAGCTGAGCCGGAGCCCAGTGTGTCCCCAGCTGCCGCCAGGGATGCTGCAGGGGCAGCAGAGGCAGCTCTGGCCCCGCCCCCAGCCCCAGCTCCTGAAGTCCCCCCTGCCCCACCCCCAGTGCAAGACCCGTCCCTCCCCTCCCCCATGATCGTTTACTATTCCGTACTCATTCCCGTTTTCCTCATGTTCTGCTCCATGTTTACTGCGCTGCTCAATAAAAAGTAGCCTGCTGCTGAGGGCCAAGTGTGCGGGCAGTGCAGCGCCAGCTCCCCGGGCCGGGGCTCCCCTCCCAGCTCTCTGCAGAATGGGCCCAGTCGGGAGGTGGGCACGCGGGAGGACACTGGTAACGCCGGGGGCACAGTGAGAGCAGCACTCGCAGACAGGGAACCACTGCTGGGATGGCTGAGAAAGGAAGGGGACCGGGGACAATTCGGGAACCGCGAGCTCCCGGGCTGGGCCCTCCCCACCCAACTCTGCAGAATGGGGCCAACGCCAAGGACTGGGATCCTCTGGAGGGGATACTGACACCTCCCGGGGCACAGACACTGCTGTCTGTCTTGGACAGGGGACAGTGACTGCTGGGAAGGCCGAGGAAGACAGCCAGCAGGGAGACACTGTCATGGCTGGGGCAGCGCCTCCTCATGGTCAGGGACGCGGGCTCTGGGGTCAGAAGGAACTGACCTGCAGTGGGACTTCCCACGGCAGCCTCAGTGTCCCCATCTGTGAAATGAGCTTGGATAAACTCCTATATTTCTCTGGTGTTCTGTGCACGTCGGAGCCTATGCTACCACAGCAAGACAAGAGAAGGTCCTTTCTGTCTACTCACCCCTGATGAGGTGTGAAGACTTGCACATCTGCACAGCAAACATGAGCAGGCCCAGAGAAAGGAGCACCCCTGGCAGACTTAAAAATTGCCAGGCCCTGGAGTGTGTGCCCCTCCCACCCACACACCCAGGGGCAGAAGCACAAAGTTTATGGTCCGAGGGCTGTAGTGTGCAGCCTCTCGCCAGGAATTGTCTGACCCTAAGCTATGCTGGAACACAACACTCAGGGTGCCTGGACTCAAAATAACACAATTATAGTAAACCATGGGTAGTGAGCTACGATACGATGCTGCTGACTCATTAACAGAGAAAAGAAGACAGCTGATTATTAATGGACCCAAAATAAAAATCCATCACAAGTGACAGTGCAGATGTGAGCGACGAGGCTGCAAACAGTGTCGGCGATCAGTAGAGGTGAACCAACGAATGGTCAACCCCCACGGAAACTAAGGAGGGATAGGGAACAAAGACTTACACTGTGGCCAACACGGAGTCATTCAACACCCCGTCACTGGAGTCGACCTAGGAAAAGAGAGAGAGATGGGGGCTGAAAACTTTAAAAGTCATATACTTGATATAAATGCTGATGTGGAAAGTGGTAGAAACCAAAAAGACATTTGACGTGTCAAAAACACATAGCAACGCGGCAGACGTAAATTCAACCATAACAATAACCACACTAAATGTACGTGGATCGAAGTCTTCCGGGGCCAGCACTGAGAGAGTGGATGTAGCAGCAGATCCACTTGTGCTGTCCAGAGGAGAAATGCGTCGGATTCACAGACACACGTGGGTTGAAAGTAAATGTATGGAAAAGGAGACACCAGGCAAACCCTGCCTATGAACGCGGGCGCCCCTCTGCTAATGTCGGACAAAATCCACCTCAGACAAAACTACTTCTGCAGACACCAAGGGACAGTTCTTTAAAATTAAAAATAAAAATTTATTTATTTATTTGTGAGCCAGAGATACAGACAAATGAGGCAGAGAGAGGTCTTCCATGTACTGGTTCATTCCTCAAATGGCCACAATGGCCAGAGCTGGGCCGATCCAAAGCCAGGAGCCAGGAGCTTCTTCCTGGTTCCCCCATGTGGGTGCAGGGGCCCAAGGACTTGGCCCATCCTCCACTCCTGTCCCAGGCCATTAGCAGGGAGCTGGATCAGAAGTGGAGCAGCCAGGACATGAACCGGCACCCATATGGGATGCTGGTGCAGTAGGCAGCGGCTTACCCTACTACACCACAGCCCCGGCCTCACAAGGGATATTTTGTGATCAATAGAACATCAATCACTCAGGAAGACAGATAATAATGAAGGTCTCTGAATTTAACAAGAGAGTTTTCCCAAATGTGTGACTGTTGGAGACAGTGCAATTTGGCACAAATAAAAACAATAAAAACTCAAAACACAGAAAAGAAAAATCAGAGACGAATGTTCACCCTTCCTGAGGAAGAAGTAGTATTTATTCACAGAAAACACAATCCTGTATTTTGAAAATCCCATGGACTCACGGACAACAGACACCCACGCAATCTAGGACACAGGTTCCCAAAGGCTGCGGGTAACAACCAGGTCCATTTCTGCACACTGGTGGGAAGCAAGGTGTACACGAAAGAAGAAAACCGCCTCACCCCAGGCCGTCTGGGCTCCTGCTGTGGGTCTCTGCTGACTCCAAGTTGCAGGGCACCTGCTGGCTTCTGCAGGGCTTTCACACACACACACACACACACACACACACACACACCCATGCTCTCATCTCTCAAAGCCTTTGCTGTAATGTGCTCCCATCCCTGAGACTCCTCCCCAGCAGGGTCGCTTGGCAGCCGCTGGCCCATTTCCTCCTCGGCTTTTGCTATCACCGTTGCCTTTTCCTCTGCTGTCCTGAGGTTTCAATATGGCCCAGGTGGGGTCGTGAGTTCTAAAATCCCCCTTCTCAGTCAGAGGAACTCCTCAGGCTTGGCACTCAGGCCTTGAACCTATGTCTTCCACGTACACAAGTCACAGGTGGGGAATGACATGTGCACATTATCAGCTCTCCTTCCCCCTGGAGCCACATCCCCAGGCCTCCAGCTGGGTCGGACAAGGTAATTCCCATCAGGCCCATGGGGAAGGCGAGGAAGCAGTGCCAGCCAAGCCAGCCCCGCGGTTGGAAGCAGGGGAGTCACGTGGGCTGGCGCTGTCCTCTTCCAAGCTGTTCTTCATCTCTGTTATGGTGTCAGAGGGACAGACTTCATTTCTTGTTTGATTTTCTGTCCTTCGCAGGACACAAAGACACAGATGACAAAAGGGAGGTCGGCACCCCACAGAGGACGTCTGCCCAAGCCCGGCCACAGTGCCGCACGACAGGCGAGGGCAAGGTGGTTTTTCCACGTGGGCAGGTACAGAACGCTGAAAAACCCCCTGACCACCAGGGAACGTGTGAACAGGGAAGGAGGGGCCAGATGCGACATCCCCAGGCACTGGAGGGAGGAGCTCTGACCGCGCGGGTTTTTAGTGGCTCTGGGACAGGAAATCCCCTCTCGTTCCTACCGGTTCCTGGGGAGGTCTCTAGGCCTTCACCTGTCAATCAGGGCAGGATGGGGTCAAGTAGCCCAGAAACAGGGCTTGGGGACTGCTGGGACCGCTCCTTTTGTGCTGCTCCATCTCCCAGAGCGAAGCCCAGCATTCAGATCCTGGTCCTCCTGATAGGGCACTTCCTGTCCTGGCTTCGGGCACTTCCTGTCCTGGCTTTGGCCACTTCCTGTCCTGGCTTTGGCCACTTCCTGTCCTGGCTTCAGGCACTTCCTGTCCTGGCTAGGCTCGCAGCAACTCTGAGACACTAACAAAGCAGCGATCCCCAATCACTCAGCCTTTGTTTCTGGCAAGTTGTGGACAGAGAGGAGGCCGGCTGCTCTCCATCCCTTGGGTGGCTCAGTCAGCAACACTGGCTGGCAGGACTGAGTGACAGCTCCTACACGGACAGATATGACAACTGCAAGCCTTGACAAACACTGCGTCAACTGCTTTGCTCCCAGTTCCTGGTTCTCTGGATCCTAGGCTGGGGATGGCTCCGCATGGGTCACCAATTTTGTTAATGGACTCAAGGGCTCCATTTGCTTGGTGTCACCCAATAATCAGTCTCCAGGGGAGCTGCTTGGGGTGGGGGAGCTTTATCTACTGTAACAAACAAAGGAGACTGTGGGAAAGTTTAGCTCCCCGAACAAACTGCCTCTCTAAGAAGCAGTTTGCCAGGGCTTTCTTAGTGAGGGTTAGGGACATCCAAGATGTAGGAAAGGGGAGGGGGATGCCCTCCCACCCCTGGCTCATACATATAAGCAACACACATCTTCATACTTTGCATCCTCAGAAGGGGTGGCACAGTCCTCTCCTAGGTGGAGAATTTAGAATTGTGGTGAGGAACGATCAGCTGCAGCCACGAAGATCGCACTCTAACACTTCTCGCAGCTCCAGCTGCTCCTCACTTGCGCTCGTCTGGCTCCCTGCAGGCAAGGTAAGTTCTGGAATGTTTTCTGCAAAACAAGCTAAAGGGAATTCAGCTTCTTTTCCTGTGCCCCAGTGCCCGCTCCTGCTTTCTGTCTAAATCCCGCATCCTTCTTTGTATATATCCCACACCTGCATTGAGCTTCCACAACCAACTGCTAAATACACAATATTGCCTCTTAACATATTCGACCCTGGCGAATCCCGAGTCACCGGCATTCGGTTTCCTAAAACTGCACCCAGGTCATAGCACACAAGCGAGGGCAACCATGATCGCTTGGGAAAATCAAATTCACGTGCGTTTTTCAGATCCTTGTCCCTGTGCTGCACAGAGCAAAGCATCGCGAGGAAAACAAACCCAGCAAGGTCACTAAGACCTAAGAGTTCATTCAAAACTAGAGTCTTTCCAAACTATGACTTTAACAAGCATGGAGTAAACACCCGTGCAGGGTCTGCAGGAGCTCATTCAAGGTCTGTGGGAACTGCGGCCCTAACAGAAGGGAAGAACATGAAAATACCCCGGAAAGGAAAGGGACGAAGCAATGAGGTACTATTTGAATCCAACCCGGCAGCACAGTGGCTGGATCGTGGTTTTTGGTTTAAGAATTCTAACTTGAGACTGAATCCAGAGTCCGGGGGACTGATGCGACAGCATAACTTAGGCTGTGAGGATTTTATTCCACTGACCGTGGGGTGGGGTAAAATGTCCTCTATGGTGGTGGGAAAAAAAAAAAAAACTGCCCAGTGCTGAGGTCATCCCCGCTTTGATGCAGAAATATCAGAATGCCCAGCTGCCTGCTAGTGCAGACCCTGCAGGGGAGGCGGCAGCGATGGCTCAAGGGAGTTCCTGCCACCCATGGGGGAGACCTGGGTTTTGAGTTCCTGGCCCCAGGCTCCAGTCATTGTGGGTATTTGTAGGTCTATCTCCCTACCTCACATAAATAAGTAAGAGGTGTTTGGCTACCAGGTTTTTAAAAATATTAATTTTATTTATTTGAAAGAGTTACAGAGAGGGGTAGAGACAGAGAGTGAGGTCTTCCATCCGCTGGTTCACTCCCCAGTTGCCCGCAATGGCCAGCTGCACTGATCCGAAGCCAGGAGCCAGGAACTTCCTCCAAGTCTCTCATGCAGGTGCAGGAGCCCAAGGACTTGGGCCATCCTCTACTGCTTTCCCAGGCTGTAGCAGAGAGCCAGATTGGAAGAGGAGCAGCCGGGTCTAGAACCAGTGCCCATATGGGATGCCAGCGTCTCAGGCCAGGGCTTTAACCCGCTGTGCCACAGTGCTGGCCCCTGACTAACCAGTTAAGATCCTCCTTGGAATGCCTGGGTTGGAGGCCTGGTTTCCACTCTGGATTCCAGCTTCCTACTATGCACACCCAGGGAAGCAGCAGGTGATGGCTCAAGCAATTGGCTCCCTGCTACCCGTGAGGCAAATGTGGATTGAGTTCCTGAATTCCAGCTTCACCCCAGTCCAGTCGCAGCCATTGTGGTTATTTGCAAGAAGTGAACCAGTGGATGGGAGCCCTCTGTCTGTTTGCCTCTCAAATACCTAATTTTTAAATACTACATTTTTGTAAGTATTGACTTAAATGGCAAATTTATTTTGCTACAAACTAAAATGATAAACTAGTTGGTTAAAACTGAGAAAGACAAAAGGAAGCACAGTGTACCTGACCACATTCTGGGCATGAATCCAGTCCCCAGTTACCAAGTCTCTGGGCCTTTGCTATAGATTGCAGGGGGGTAGTTACGAATGATTGGGAACCGAAGAGCAGAGACCATCTACCCAGAAGGAGCAGCTGAGAATGCGCCCTCTGCACACACAGGTGAAGCCTCAGGACCGGCCCAGGCCACCTGCCCTGGATCACGAGTGCATTACAGTCCACAGCCATGTGGAGGCAGTAGAGTGCACCAGTCAAGGCTCAGCCTCCAGCACCAGAAAGCTTCCTTCCCCGCCTGGCACTGTGGCGCAGCGGGTTAAAGCCCTGGCCTGAAGCGCCAGCATCCCATGTGGGCAACAGTTCTAGTCCTGGCTGCCTCCTCTTCCGATCCAGTTCTCTGCTATGGCCTGGGATAGCTAGTAGAAGATGCCCAAGTCCTTGGGCCCCTGCACCCTCGTGGGAGACCCGGAAGAAGCTCCTGCCTCCTGGCTTCAGATCGGCGCAGCTCTGGCCATTGCGGCCATCTGGGGAGTGAACCAGTGGATGGAAGACCTCTCTCTGTCTTTACCTCTCTCTGTAACTCTTTCAAAAAAATAAAAAATAAATATTTTTTAAAAAATAAACGTAATACATAGCATAAACTCTAGGTTGGACATGGGTGAAGGAAGAATTACTAAAATGGAAAACACAGTTGTAGCATTTGCCCAGGGTGTATCACAGAGATACAGGAGAGACGTGGGTAATAAATTCAGAGTCTAAAATCCCTACCAGGGGTATAACACACCGGATGGAACATAAGGAAGCAATGGCAAAGTGATGACACTTGGAAATTGTCCAGAGCTGCTGAAAGGTTTTTCATGTGCTGCCAGTGCCAAGAAAGAGGGTGATGGTCAGGCTACAGCCACTGCCTCACTGCAGCTGGACTCGGACAGGTTGGGCCCTGCACACCTGCTCCTCCCCTGCCTCCCCCAGACTCCCCAGCATGAACCCCCAGGCTTCCTTCCTAGCTCACAGGCAGGGCTCTGGAGGCAGCTCTGCAATGCCCACTCTCGTTCCCTGTCTGTTCAGGAAGGTGACAGCCACGATCCTCCCCAGCCTGCGTCACGCTGGTTTCCACTGCGGAAGGTCTTGGGTCAGTACAGAGTTCCTTAGAAACCCATCTTTGGTTTCCAAGGTAGGGAGGCATGCAGTCCTACCTAGGCAAGGGAGCCCATTTAACAATGAATGGGGTGGGGGGCCAGTGCTGTGGCACAGTGGGTAAAGCTACCACCTGAAGCGCCGGCATCCCATATAGGCACTGGTTCAAGTCTCGGCTGCTCCACTTCCAGTCCAGCTCTATGCTATGGCCTGGAAAAGCAGTAGAAGATGGCACAAGTCTTTGGGCCCCTGCATCCTTGTGGGAGACTCGGAAGAAGCTCCTGGCTCCTGGCTTTGGATTGGCCCAGCTCTGGCCGTTGTAACCATCTGGGGAGTGAAACAGCAAATGGAAGACCTCTCTCTCTCTCTCTGCCTCTGCCTCTCTGTAACTCTGCCTTCCTGCACCGGGAGACAATGCCACCAAACTCCCGGAGCCAACCTAATCCTAAGGAGCATAATGGGCAGGCATTTTGTCCAGGTCCTCAGATGCGTGGCAGGTGGACAGCCTGACTTACAGCTCTTGAGTCCTGTGCCATAGGACACGTCAGGTTTCTTAACAGAAAGAACCGGGGTACAATGTTTAATTCTGCCATACCCTCTCCTACCCACACTGGGGGATCGGTCTTTCCCTCCTCCTCCTCAGTCGGGATACCCGTCAGAACTTTTGTTGGCCGCTGGTCTGCTCCTAATCTCACAATCAGGTCTCGGCCCAGGAGATTAAGTCCTCCCTCGGGTACACATAAAAATGAATTCTCGGCTTGTTCTCATCCTGGTCTGATGAGCATTTTTTAAAATATCAGAACATGGGATCCTTCCCCCTTTACTCCAACCCCGTCACTTTTCCCCCGGAGAATTCTGGGCCCTTTGGTTGATGGGTAGGGAGGAATGAGTGGCTCCCCTGTCAAGAAAAAGCGCTGCCCTTCCCCTCTGGTTCCGCCATTACGTTATCGAGGGTTTCCTGGAAGGACCCACTCAGAGGGAACCCCTGAGCCCCCTAATCCTCGTCAGCAGTCATGAGGGGATTCCCTCCTCTTCTATCTTCCATTCTGGGCGTCCTGTCCTACCTTTCTACCCTGTAACACACACTGAGTTGTGGGAGCTCCCCTCTGTATTTCCTGCCTAGCTGTTGACATTTGGGATTCCCCCACCTTTGGCAAGGGGGATTCTGATCCAATCTCTTTTTAACTACCTCTTCTGCAGTGGAAACCATCATTTTTGCCCCCCTCCCCTTCTCGTCTCATGAAAACTTTCAGTACTTTCTAAGTGGTTCCTCAATTGATTTCTCATTCCACCCACCAATATTTTGCAATTTCTTTGTGGTATCAGGCTGACTATTAATTATAAAATCAACTTTTAAAAGTTCTTGTCCCAGGATTATCACTGTAGCACAGTGGGTTAAAGCCCCAGCCTGCAGCTCTGGCATCCCATATGGGTGCCAGTTTGAGACCCGGCTGCTCCACTTCTGATTCAGCTCTCTGCTACGGCCTGGGAAAGCAGTAGAGGATGGCCCAAGTCCTTGGGCCCCTGCACCCATGTAGAAGACCTGCAAGAAGTTCCTGGCTCCTGGCTTCAGATTGGCGCAGCTCCGGCTGTTGCGGTCAATTGGGAAGTGAACCAGCGGATGGAAGACCTCTTTGTCTCTACCTTTCCCTTTCTCTGTAACTCTAACTTTCAAATAAATAAAATAAATCTTAAAAAAAAAAAATCCAGTCCCACTGGGTCCTCTGAATCCAGTCTGGAGTATTTCTTCATTGGACATCTAAGTCTCTGTAGAAAAGCAGAGCTGGTCTCCTCTTTCCTGTTGAATTTCCAATGCCTTAGCGACATTCTGTGACCTGGGCGCAGACTCTTTGATTCCTTTCATTATTAGCTCCCCAGGATCCTGCATCTCTGCTCCATGCTGGGGACCATCATTCTTTCACTCAGGAGCAGCATTCGGAAACTTCTGTTCTACGATAAAACCCCCTGCCCAGGAGGATGCTCTTTTTCCCGATGGCCGTGGCTGCTCTGCTAACCATTCCCCTCTCCTACCCTGTGAACGGGACCTTCATCTTCCTTGTCCTACAGGAACTTCCCAAAGAGGGAACATCCTAGATGCCTGCTGTCTGGAGGGGAGAGGGAAGTTTTCTTGGTGGTTCTTACACTGTCCTAATTCCTTTCTTAAATTAGGATAAGGATTTAAGGAGGCTGTTGGTTTGACTTTCTCATGATCCCTAGATCCTATTGCTCCTGACTCTTCTGCTGTCACCCCTTGGTTTTCTTTTCCTGCAGCCTGAGGGAGACAGGGAGGGGGAAGACATGATAAGGGGTCCCAAGGCTTTACACTGGGCCCTCCTCCTCCCTTTTGAAGGGTAACATAGTGGTCAACACCTTCATCCAGCAGAGAGCAGGATCTACTTCTTGCAAGGATGGTTTCTGTTCACATCCAAGCATCTGAGCCAAACTTGGGCCAAAAGACCAAGAGCTCATGAACTGGGTCTTTGGGCCAAATAACACAGCAATCCTGAATCATTGTTTTGGCTCTCGGTCCGAGGAACAAACTCCAGGACCCCAACGTTCTCACAAATGGACTATCAGGGAGACTGTCGGAGGGAGTCTCTCTGGCCACCCTTCCCAAGGCCTAGGATTCCTAGTTCCCATGTTGGCCCAGTCTCTGTGTCTGTCTCCCCGTGCTCAGTCTCTGGTCATGGAGATCTCCTGCACAGCACCCCGAAATTTCCTGTAACCTCAACCCCCCTCCCGATGCAAACGTTTCATATACACCCCAGGACCCGTGTCATCTATCTCTGACCGTTTCCTTCATGGAAGAACGGAGGCATGGGTCAGGACTCCACACTCGCTTTGTATGTGGGACTGGCTCAGTCTCACACACACCTGACCTCCCAAAATACCCAACCACCAGGGCAGTACTTACAGTCCATTTTCCCTGACTTGACTGGTGCACTAGACTGCCTGGTGGCCCTGGTGCCGGCTTTTTCTTTCCTGCGTCACCTCTGCTGTCTGTTGAATAGCACTCTCAAGTTTTTCTGCAGCTTCTGTGGGGACCCAGGGCACCTGGACAGAGCAGGCCGTACAAAATCAGGTAGGACACGTCTGCTGGAGTCCTCACCCAGGACAAGCCTGGAGGCTTGTGGAAATGTCCTCAGCGGTCCCCTGAGGAGCTGAACTCAGGAAATGCACTGAAAGTCAGACTTTATTGTTGGCCTTGCAAGATCAGAGGCTGCTGAGCAAGCACAGCTGAAGCAATTAACAAGAAATTTACATCCTATCACACAGGCCCCTCCCCAGCCCTCATCCCCTGAGTTCTCTGGGGTGACAATATTCCCACACATCACCTAAGTTACCTTCAACCTTCCTGCTGTGTATTTCATATCCACGTGTGGATTGACTACTCCATAAAAATTCAGTTTGCCTAGTGAATTATGATACATCTGCAAGTCAGTGAGGTGTAATTGTCCATTCTGTATAGAAAATGGACCACCAGATATTTGCTCACATTTGTTTAATGTCAACACCTGTCCTGCCCTAAGAGACACAGCAGGCACACAAAGGATGAAAACCCAGGTCTGTTCCTCAAATCATCTCTCCATGAAATGGCAGATCCTGCTAACTCCTGGGTCTCTACGCTGAGGCCACCGATGCCACTGGCCCACATTGACAACGAGAGACTCCGGAGGCAGCAGCCATGAACACCCACACCTGAGAGGCAGATCTGGATCCCTGGGGGCTCCCTCTCTACAGGAACTGAGCCTGGCGATCCAGGACTCACCACTAGTTAGGTGGTGGCCCCCGAATCCACCCACTGTGGGCAGGGGACACAGCGGGGGCTGGGGAGTGACCGTCCACGTGCAGGTCAGGCTGCACAGTGAGGGGTGGGAGCGAGGAGAGGACTCTGGAGTGGAGGCTCAGAAGTGAAGCCCAGCTCCCCCTCACGCACCCCTGATGAGCGTCCTCACCACACGCACTGCCATCCCGCCCTGCTAGGGCTGCCAGCACGCTGGCTGGACCCTCTCCAGCCCAGCTCCCAAGACCACCATCACGGCCCCACACTCCCACCCAGCCTGACGGCCTGCTTCCCCCTCGAGTGCTCCCACCCCTCCGTACAGATCCCTCTTCTGCCTCTCCCCAGCACCGGGCTTGCTGTCCCCAGAGGCCCTGCTGCCCCCTCCCGCCTCACTCACCCACTCAGGCAACACATCCACAGCAAACACCTGCACGGCCCTGAGGACGGCCCAGACCTGACCACGTCACACGGGAGCTTTGTGCTGCCCGCAGCGGCCCTGTGCCGAGGCCTTGAGATGGCCCTCGCCCCACTCAGCCACACAGACCGCTCCTCCTCACATTCTGTGCAGAGCACCCGCGGTGCAGGTGCAGGTGCACCCAGGATTCCCTTCAGCGGCCCCCTAGTGGGCACTGCTGTGCTCTTCCACACGCTGCCCAGTGCAGAGCTGTGGGTGGCACTGAAGGGCGCACTCTGCACGTGGGAATCTGGGAGGGAGAGACCCTGGGGGTCATGAACTCCCCAGACCCTGGCAAGGTGCCCCCTGCGGGGAACGGACACCCACTCCCCAAGCTGCCCTTCCCCCGCCTCCCTGCCAGCACCTATCACCAGCCCAGACAGGTGACTGCACTGACCCACTTAGGCACCACAGCACACACCGCTCAGGGGCTTAGGAGCCACCCACTTCTCTTATAGGAACTGTTTGCTCCTTACCCTCGACCATCTAACCTCAGAGTTCTTGCTCTTTTCCTATTGACTTAGAGTTTTCGTATTAGGGAAATTGTTAATCTTTAACACAAAGTACAAATGTTCTTTCTGGTTGGAAAGCTGTCTTTCGTGAGCAGTGGTTTTGCTACGCCAATTTTATTTCTAGTGAATTTGATCCATCCTTTCCCGAGGCCTCCTAGGTTTGGTACCGTACTCAGAAAGACCGTTCCACTGTAAATTATAGAAATATTCTGCTTTAGAGTCTTCCAGCCCGGACATCTGTGTAAGGGCAGAAATTCTGTTCCGTGGCCACCAGTCACACCCTGGCCAGAAAGTGCAGGAATTAAATTAATTTCTAACGGTAGCTTTGTGACATCTGCAGTTTATCAAGCTCCTCCCACAGCAGTGAGTGAAGCAGTATTGACACAATTCTGGATGACGCAGTCATGGGGGTACTGTCATTGCCTATTTGTCAGCACCCACAGAACAGACAGCACCAGGACTCATGCCCAAGGCAGTGCTGGATGTGGTGTGGCTGGGAGGTATCAAAGCAGGTGCATGGACTGTAACAACTGCACCACTGTGGTGCTGACGGTGATCCTGGCCAAGGCCTTACCTGTGCTGGGGCGGGGCCTATGACACTCAGCCCAATTTTGGAAGAACCTGAAACTGCTCTTTAAAAAAAAAAAAAGAAAGAAAGAAAAAACTACTTCAAAAAATAAAGCAGCAGCATGTGGACCCAGGCCATATCCAGATGCTGCCTGGGGGAGGGGAGGTGGTGGAGACTGGAAGACTCAGTCACCAACAGGGGGAACTAGGTAGGGACCCCGTGAGGACCAGGGGGACATCCATGATGGGAGGAACGCTGGGGCTGAGGAAGAAAGCGCCAGGTGTGGGCTCAGGAGAAGAACCACACAGCACAGGTTCTGGTTGTGAACTAGGTGAGAAATGCTCCTTTAAACAAAAAGGGCCCTGCAGCACCATCTTCCTGCCACACTACCCGCCTCTGTGGAGACCCTGCATCCGGAGTCAGCTCCTTTTCCATGACAACAGAAAAAATCAGGCATCAGGTAGGAGCCAGGGCAGGTTCGAGTCTACCCAGGGGACGTAATCCATATCTGCAGACAGCAAAGTGAGGGACAAAAATGACCACAGATTTTGTAGGACCCCAAAAGCGGTGTCCTCTTGTGATGACCCCAGAAACACAGACTCCGGACCAGACGATGCAATAGAACAGGAGGTAATTTTATTTCATTTGTACAAATGGGCCCCCTACTGCTGCAAGCAGCAAGCAAGTGAGAGGAGCCCCGAGCAGCTATCTCACACAGCTTTTAAAGGGCAAAACCACAAAATTAACATATTATAGGCTGGCGTAAGTTCATTGGATAATTTTCAGTAGCGGGCCTTGTATGGCAGTCTGAAGTGCTAATGTCGGTGGAAAAGTACTAGGTTAAAGGGATACATTAGGGGGAGGGGGTTTCTAGGAGAGAGGAATAGGTTGCTACGTGCCTTGCAGCTTTCTTTGTTAACCTTGAGCAAGCGTAGGGAAGGGGCTTATCTACAAGGCAGGTGTTCTGTGTATCTCTGGTTAGTAGCTGACTGCTTTCTCTGTGAACCGGTTTACTCCCCATTTCCCAAGGCCGTCTCTGGAACAGTTTGTCTCAAGAGCCCCATTTTTTTTATGGTGGCTCTTGGCTCCTTTCATTCCCCCATTTTCTCTTTGAACTAATTTTAATCCTAAAATTGTGTGCCGTTAATGAGGGGTTTTAATACGGTCACTGGTGGCCAGGGCTTGATAGTGTTGCGTGAGGACTAATGCCAATGATCAGCAAGCCAGGCCTTAGCATGTGGGCCCATGGCCAGCCATGGGTTTTTATATATATATATATATATATTTTATTAAATTGAGAATGGCCTCTGTCTTAGGTTGCCCTCAGTCATCTCTGTCCTTACCCGTCTTCGGTAACTCTGGCAGCTTGGCCTAGAGCCCTGTCTTAGGTTGGTACAGGATGCTGAGCGTCTTACCCGTCTTTGAGTACCATTCCAGCCCAACATTAGGTGAGAGATGAAACATACAGCCAAATATCAATTATTTTGATTACAAAGGAGGTTTGGTACAAAGTTTTAAATGATGAATCTCAGTCCATTCATACTATAGGGAAGTCAGCATAAAATGCAGAACACACGGAAGACATCCCATACAAAGTGGGAAAAGCAGTAGCAGTCCAGCCAACATTAATAACCAATGAATCCATTGAAACCCTTCAAATGAATAGTGGGTTAGTAATAAACATATGTTGTATTTTACTCTTAAGTTTATCAATAACAGACTCTATATATGGCACATTGTTAGTAATGTTAAAGTAATATCCCCCAGGTACAGGTTTACAACTTAAATGATCTTTTTAACAGCAAGTAATTGTTAGCTACATGGCTTAAAAGCACTCCTGAGTGAACTTGATCCAATTCTTTGGCTATATTGGATAGCACAGTAGCAGTAAGATTGATTGCTTTGGTCACCAAATATGTAAGCCTTTATAGTCCACGATTATTTTTAAAAGCCAGTCCAGGAACACTTACTACTGATGCAGCCATGGCAAGGGCAGTGTCCTCTCCTATTAGGATGACGTTGTTATTGTAGTCTTCAGGTAAAGCACGCCACTGACGTACTCTATCCGCTGCTGTAAATACAGATGTTAGCATCAGGGCCACACGGCCCAGGGAGCAATTGCAGAAAAGCATGTTGGTTACATAGAAAAACCCATCCCTTAGGAGCCCTTGTCCCATACCAGTACTGGATCAGGTCCATTCCATTGATTGTTGATAGGATCCCTTCATTTTAACACTGCTCTTTTTACAGCTGTTTTTAAGCAGTTAGAATTTAACAGAGACATCAAGAGAACATAATAGATTACTTTAACTCATTGCTTTAACAGAGGATCAGATTTTGATTTTATGTCAAAGAAAATAACCAAAGATTTCTTTTTTTTATAACATTTTGTGACTTTCTCACACCTTCTGTAACTTGCTCAAACCTTTCTCTTCTCCCCCCTGCTTTTTTTTTCAGTATAAACCAGCCATTAAGATAAACAATTTTTACAAATTATATTCTTTTAAAAGTATCTCTTTTTTTAACTTTTCTTATCAAGAACACGCTTTTATGTTTGTGACCTTTTACATTAAAATGATGGTATCTGGGACTGTAGCAGTCAATGGGAGAGTAACTTTGTTTAATTCCCTGTAATCCACAGTCATTTTTCAGGTTTCATCTGATTTCTTAACATGCCAAATTAGATAATTCCTTTTAGTGATTATGGGAATCATCACTCCAGCACTAAGATAATTTTTTACTGTTTTAGATATTTCCTCATATTCACCTGGAATTCTGTATTGTTTACACTGAATAACCTTAGTTGGCCCTGGCAGCAGTACAGGAGCTTGATATAATTTTTTTTTCCACTACCTAGCAGTTTGACTCTAAAGGGCAGCATTTTTTTTTAATTTATATTTATCCTGTACTTATTTTTTCAATTGCTTATACATGCATCAGTATGCAGATAACAAAATCCATTCTCACCTCCCCAAAGCCTATAGTTCATCCCCCTTTTCCACCAGCACTGATAGCAAAACCTCAATAACTTGTGGAGGCTGTGCACTCTGTAACTTGCCATCCCAATTCTCACTCGATTCTGAGCAGAGAGCCCATTCCTTCACCAAAGAGGCGAACTGAAGGTCTTTTCAGCCAGGAACATCACAGGTTACACATGCAATTTTAGTTTTTCTTTTAAAGAAAGGCATTGCTTTGCATACTTGCAGATCCTGCCAACTACGCCAATTTGTGACAGTAAATTACTTTTTAGCTGTCTGCTGTGCACAGACTTAGTTACTTTTAATCTGCAAGAAATACGCTGCAAGCCTTGTAGTGCACACTAAAATTATTTACAGGAAAGATGGTAAAGGAGCATAGATTAACAGAATGTTGCAATAAACATGGCTCCATTGCTTTAATGATACTATAGCAAGATGGTCCACTGATCCCTGTAGGGAGGGCCTGAGGCTGGCCCCGCTTCCAGTTTCCTGAACTCTGTTTTTTAATGAATTACCTTCTTTATCAGTTTTGGAGTGACATTTATTGGCCCAATGCCTTCCCCTTTAGCACTGGAAGCAAATCCCAGGAAGAGCCTTATTTTGATTTTTGACTTCTGTACAATTTTTGTACATGTCCCTGTTGCCCACATTTATAGCACCCTCATTTATCAGGCATAGCCCTCCTTGATGATTTTTGTAATGACATACCAAGCAGAGCGTCAGGTCCTGAATGTCCTGTTATTAATCCATTTTGTTAATTTTTCATTAAAGGGACTGTCACAGAACACCTCAATCACAGTAGCCAATTG